GCATCACATAGGAGTCGAGTGTGCTAATTATTAAAGAAAAAACATCTGCCATCACGGGAATCCCTCCATGTTTCATGCTGGGCTTCCAAAGAAATGGCCCCTGCTTCTCAAAACAATAGGGCACGAGAGAGAGAGAGAGAGAGAGAGAGAGAGAATGTGAGTGTGTGTCACTTCCACAGGGCATGGAAGCTCGCCATAACCTACGGTTAACACTTTAGTTTGCTCTTTTGTGTCAGGCTGCAAAAGGTCAACTCTGTTCCCTCAGGAGTAGCTCTTATGGGTTTTTTTTCTGTCTGTTTTTTGTTTTCCTCCCCCTTCTCCTCCTTTTTGATTGAGATGAACCAGGGTGTTGAAGGCTCAAGAAAAATCACCATGAAAGCTTTGTGGCTCTTACAGGACTTTGAGGGTTCATCAAGTTGGGTAGTGTTGGGGTATTTTTTGAGATGCTCTAACCTACCCCCAGGAACAACTAGCCCTATTCTGCTCCTTTCCCCCAGATACTCTGTTTGCAGCAGCTTTGGCATTGAAATTTCATTAAGTCTTCTCTGTGCACTTGAGTGCTGCTCTCCTCCAGCTGGGAATTACTTATAGTTTGGGCAATTCTTTTCTGAAACAAAATGCTTTAAGCCTCAACTAAGAATATGAACGAGTAACCAGCTAACTAGTAAGCATTACCCTTACTGGGTGATGCTTATTGGTTAACAGGCACCCAGGAGCAGCCGCTTGCCCGAGGCCCATTGCGGGCAGAGGGCTGCTTCTGCCCCACCCGGCTCACTGCAGGGTGGGAGTCAGCAGCCCCACAGTGCTGCTCCAGCTGGACTGGAGTGGTCCTCCGACCAGGATCCCTCTTAATTACCTAATGTTTAACCAGTTAATTGATTAAACGGAATTTTATATCCCTAGCTTCAGCTGTAATGCAGATGAAACCTCATATCTCTGTTTCCCTCCTGCCCTTTGTGTGTCTTGCTATTTAAGCTGTGGGCTCTCAGGGCAGGGACTGCCTCTCGTGGGCCTGGGTGCAAAGGGATTTCAGTAGCCTAAGGAGGGCATGTTTTGCAGTGGTGCACAATGGGGCTTGAATCTCATTTGGAGTTGCTAGGTTCTGCTTCCATACAGTGAGGAGGGAGATAATGCTGTTGGGTTGTGAAATACATGGCTTGGTGAATTTTTTTTCCTTCCCTCTAACCATACTGTTCTGGGAGAGTGCCCACAGCCAGCAGCATATCTTTCTACTGGTGCACATCTGCACGCGCCTCGCACGAGAGAGAGAGAGAGAGAGAGAGAGAGAATGTGAGTGTGTGTCACTTCCACAGGGCATGGAAGCTCGCCATAACCTACGGTTAACACTTTAGTTTGCTCTTTTGTGTCAGGCTGCAAAAGGTCAACTCTGTTCCCTCAGGAGTAGCTCTTATGGGTTTTTTTTCTGTCTGTTTTTTGTTTTCCTCCCCCTTCTCCTCCTTTTTGATTGAGATGAACCAGGGTGTTGAAGGCTCAAGAAAAATCACCATGAAAGCTTTGTGGCTCTTACAGGACTTTGAGGGTTCATCAAGTTGGGTAGTGTTGGGGTATTTTTTGAGATGCTCTAACCTACCCCCAGGAACAACTAGCCCTATTCTGCTCCTTTCCCCCAGATACTCTGTTTGCAGCAGCTTTGGCATTGAAATTTCATTAAGTCTTCTCTGTGCACTTGAGTGCTGCTCTCCTCCAGCTGGGAATTACTTATAGTTTGGGCAATTCTTTTCTGAAACAAAATGCTTTAAGCCTCAACTAAGAATATGAACGAGTAACCAGCTAACTAGTAAGCATTACCCTTACTGGGTGATGCTTATTGGTTAACAGGCACCCAGGAGCAGCCGCTTGCCCGAGGCCCATTGCGGGCAGAGGGCTGCTTCTGCCCCACCCGGCTCACTGCAGGGTGGGAGTCAGCAGCCCCACAGTGCTGCTCCAGCTGGACTGGAGTGGTCCTCCGACCAGGATCCCTCTTAATTACCTAATGTTTAACCAGTTAATTGATTAAACGGAATTTTATATCCCTAGCTTCAGCTGTAATGCAGATGAAACCTCATATCTCTGTTTCCCTCCTGCCCTTTGTGTGTCTTGCTATTTAAGCTGTGGGCTCTCAGGGCAGGGACTGCCTCTCGTGGGCCTGGGTGCAAAGGGATTTCAGTAGCCTAAGGAGGGCATGTTTTGCAGTGGTGCACAATGGGGCTTGAATCTCATTTGGAGTTGCTAGGTTCTGCTTCCATACAGTGAGGAGGGAGATAATGCTGTTGGGTTGTGAAAAAAATGGCTTGGTGAATTTTTTTTCCTTCCCTCTAACCATACTGTTCTGGGAGAGTGCCCACAGCCAGCAGCATATCTTTCTACTGGTGCACATCTGCACGCGCCTCGCACACATAACAAAATTTATTTAACACATAGATGGAAAAAAATGAGAGGGCCCGTTGATGGGCAGTTCTCGAGTTACAAACACCCGACTTACCAACATGCGCATGTCCAAACGAAAGCTCACCCACTGGCAACCTCGGAGCAGGCAAGAGGCACGGGGTGAGGAGCAGTGCAAGTGCTAGACAGAGGATTCCGGAGGAGCTGGGTGCAGTCATGCTGCCAGCGGCTGGAGAGAAGCAGCATTTAAAGGGGATACTGCTGCCTCACTCCAGCTGAACAGCTGCCTCCTGCTCCTCTGGTCCTTGAACCACTTTGGGTGCAGCCCACAGGGAAGAGATGGCAGCCTGGGAATGGGGCTGGCTATGGGAGCTGGTGCAGAGTCCGCAGGAGAGGGGTGGGGAGATGTTGGGGGATGCCAAGAAACCCCCTTCAAAATCTTCGCCTACTTCCATATCCCCCTCTCATTAAACCTGCCTTTCTCCAAGTACCAGCATTGAAAGTTAAATAAAAAACTATTTCTATTATTTTTCATTGCAAATATACAGTATTTTAACTCCATTCTGGGTTAAATAAGCTTTTGGGGGCCAGCCTGGGAACCAACTACCATTTATAACATTGTTTCTCTGAGTATGTCTACACCACAGAGCTGAACTCGAAATAAATGACGCGTAGCTTAAGTCGAAATAGCTTATTTCGAATTTGGGCATATCTACACGGCACTTATTTCGAAACAGAACACTCTTCCTCCAACTTCTCTGACTCCTCGTACAGTGAGGTTTACCAAAGTCGGAGTAGGAAGCCCGTTATTTTGAATTTATTTATTTCAAATTAATTTCAAAATAACAGGCTTGCCGTGTACAACCACAATACGTTATTTCAGAATAACAGCTGTTATTCTGAAATAATGCTGCTGTGTAGATGTTACCCTCTGGGAAAATTAGTTCTGAATTTCAAACAACTGACTTACAAACTTTGGGAACACAGCCCATTTGTAAGTTGAGGACTTCCTGTGTATGCACAGGGCTGCATGTGTGCTTGGACAGTTTGTGCCTCCGCGTCTTCCCTGACATTGATAGTCATGCTGGCTTAGTGAAAGCTAGTCTGCCTACCTCTGCAACAAGGACGCAGCTGATGGCAGTGTAGGCTTCCCCAGTGTATATAGTGTCCTTCTAACCCAGGTTTCCCAACCTATTGGTCGGGACCCAAATATGGGTCGCCATTACATTTCAAAAGGGTCGCCAAGTGGCTTCCCCAGATGGCTCTGCCCCACCTCCTCCCCCCCATTTGTGAATTGCCTCTTGAATTGTCAAAATGGGTCCCCATCTGGAAAAGGTTGGGAACCGCTGTTCTAACCAGGTAGTCTTAAACTCTGCTGATCAAGCAAGCTAATGAAGCAGAGGGAATTCCTTCTGCAGATACAATTCTGCAATAGGGTATGTCATCTGGTGATCAGATCAGAGACCTGTGAGACATTCTACTTGTGTTTTGTGTCCTTTGGTGAACTCCTTGACCTGTCTATGTGCCTTGGTTTCCTTATCCCATATCTCCTAGGAGAATCTTATCAACCTCTTTGGGATCTGGGGCTTTGATGGATGTATGAATGGATGTATGTAAAGTGTGGGGACAGGCCTCAAAGAGGTGGGCGTGTTAGTTTGTATCTGCAAAAACAAGGAGTCCTGTGGCATTTTAGAGACTAACAGATTCCTGCATCTATCTAATGCAGTGGTTTTATCCACAAAAGCTGAATGCCCAGAAACATACTTTAATTTCTAAAATGTCATAGGACTCCTCATAGTTTGGAGAGGCTTTGGAAAGGCAAAGTCCCCTACGTCTAGACTATGGAGTTTTTCCAGGATACCCTGGAAAAATTCCTCCACGTCCAGGGAATGCATCTATTCTTCCACAAAAAAAAGTGGAAGAGCAGATGCGCTCTTTCGGAAGCCCCATCTTCCTCCTTCCACAAGGAAGAAGGGCTCTTCCAAAAAGAGGGGTTTTTTTCCAAAATTTGGCCCAGTATAGACGAGCCAAATTTCAGAAAACCTCTTCCGAAAAAAACTATTGGAAAAAGGTATGCAAATTACGGAATGCATTTTGTGTACCTTTTTCCGTTAGGTCACTGAAGTCTAGACATAGCCTCAGAGAGGGACCTTTTATACATGGACATCATGGATGTTTTCCAGCTCTTAAAAACAAAATTCCCTCTGCTTAGGAGCTGAGTTAGTCTGTAACAGGAAAAACTTAAAAAACAACAAATAGACTAGTAGCACTTTAAAGACAAACAAAACATGTAGGTGATATCATGAGCTTTCGTGGGCACAACACACTTCTTTAGATGACGAAGTGGGTTGTGCCCATGAAAGCTCTTGGTGTCATCCACATGTTTTGTTTGTCTTTAAAGTGCTACTAGTCTATTTGTTGTTTTTTTAAAAAATCCCTCTGTTCAGGGCACTTGATTTGAGCTTCCTTGTTCTTTCTGGTCCCTAGCCCGTGGCAACTTCTCCTCACAAGCCCTGCTGCTGTTCTCAGCAGCTTGGCGGCTGTTCAGCCCGACAGGTCATCAAAGGAGGAGTTAGGGGAAGTGTCTGATCCTTTCCTCTCACTTGCCCTTTCAGGAACAGAAGTTTTGCCAGCGCTATGACCAGCTGATGGAAGCCTGGGAAAAGAAAAACCCCCGGCGCCGTGCCAAGGAGAGCAAAGTGCGGGAATACTATGAGAAGCAGTTTCCAGAGATCCGGAAGCAGCGGGAGCTGCAGGAGCGCATGCAGAGGTTAGAGGAGAAGCGGTAGGATGAGGCTGAGCAGCCTTTCTCCTTTACCTATAGGGGGTTATGGTCTTATGTTGCTGGGGATGACTCCTTGGTAAACAAGCTCCCTTTCTCCTTTTCTTTCAATGGAATAACTATTAGGTGCACACACCACAGCTATCCTTGAACAAATAACTCGCTTGCTTTTTCCCCTGGGGAGATCAGTGTAGCTCATACTGTCTATGGTGGAGAAAGAATTTCAAGAATCCAGTTAGACATTTTTCCCGTGTTATTAATTTCCTGGTTCGCCACACATGGGATGAACATCTGACTAGGATAAGGTATACCTAGTCCCATGCCAACAGGATCATATCAAAGTGAACAGACCCAGTCTAAGGATTTAGAGAGTTAAAAACCTATCTGGGCTTTGATCTAGGTATGTGCACAGAGGCCAAACATCTGCAAAACTTATAGAAAAGATTGCAAGAGATCTGAAGAGATCAGAGGCCTTGCTTGCTTCCTCCATTCACATGGTCAGCTTGGTCTACCACCACTCCCATGCCCACAGCTGGTAAACCTCATTCCAAGAGGAATAACAGCTAATTCGATTTAGGGCTTAAATTCGGAAACCCGTTTCACTGCCGATTGTAGATGCGGGCAGTTACTTCAGGCTAGTCAATTTCTAAAATGGCAACCAGATGGGAACATGCTAATGAAGCAAAGGATATTTAAATCCCGCTTCATTTGCAATATCGGTCGCCCTTATTAGCCTCCCTAGATTGAACTAGGGGGCTAGTGTAGACGTACCCTAAGGGTTTATCTACATGGAGATGCAGCATGTGGTAGCCAGGGTGCGAATGCCCAGAATAGTAGCCTGCTGGGCCCTAATTCGACAGGTGGGTGCTGCTCCTGCACACTGGAAATTCCCTAGCCTGCTTTGGCACGGTGCTGCTTAGCACACAATAGGCTAGCAAGCTGTGCACACTCTCTGGCTTGCCATACACTACCTCTCCACGTGAGCACTGGGAAAGACATCGGTTTGGTTGGGTTTTCTTTCATTCATCTTACAGAGGTTTACAGTTGGCTATGGTGCTCCCTGCTCCCAGAGGAGTCAGTGGGAGTGTTTGTGATAGTAAGCGCCATACCCAGGAGTTAGTGTTCACCGTTTTGGGTCCTATGTTTTTTTTTTAAATCTGTGTCAGCCCTGAAACATGGAGTTTCCATGGTTATGCTGCAAGTGTAGGTGAATTGTGGAGTTAAAGCTGTGGTCTCCAATTTTTTAAGCACAAGATCACTTTTTAAATTTAAGTGCAATCCAGGATCTACCTCAAACCCAAACATCCTTGTCCCACCTCCTTTGTGCCCCTTCTCTGATGCCCTGCCCCTACTCACTCCATCCTCCTTCCCTCCCCCATCCTTCCTCCCTTTCACTAGGCTAGGGCAGAAGGTTGGAGAGCAGGCTCTGGTCTTGGGCTAATGCAGGGGTGGCCAACCTGTTACATACAAAGAGCCAAAATAGTGGTGGATACAGCTCAAAGAGCTGAGGGAAAGAAGTTGTTGAGAAAAGAGGAAAAAACAAACAAACAAAAAAAACCAATGCTGCCCCCTAAACAGCTATGTGTGGCCCAAGCAGGTTTCCATCTGCTGTAGCGTCAGATCCCCCTGCCACAAGCGGCGCCCAGACCAGACAGGGAAGAGCCACACCGCAGGTTGGCCATCCCTGGGCTAAGGGATTTGGAGTGTGAGAAGGGCTCTGAGCTAAGCCTGGGGTAGGCGGTTGGGGTACAGGTGGGGGTTCTTGGTGCATGCTCTGGGAGGGAGTTTGGAAGCAGGGAGGCTCAGGGCTACGGCAGAATTTTGGGGTGTAGGAGGGGGTTCGGGATACAGGCTTCACCTGGGTACCTCAGGTGGTTCCTGGAAGGTAGAACTAAGGCAGGGTCTGCCCTGGCCTGGCCCTGCACAACTCCCAAAGGTGCAGCCAACAAACTCCCTTCATCCCAAGCCCTGTTGTGCCTCCCCACTCTGCTCTGTGAAGATAGGGTACAAGGTGGGAGAGGGAGCACCTGAGCATCTTGGCCAAACCAGTCAGGATCACTTGTCAGAGGTTCCAGGAGGTTCGACTGATTGGTGATCACTGAGTTAAAGGGACAGCTTCAGAATGGCTTTGCAGGGGGGCAGCTCTGAGCTGTTTGTGCGATACCTTCCCTCTTGCCTCCAGGGTAGGTTCTGTTTCCAGTACTGACTGTGCCTCCTTTCCAATGCCAGGAGTCCCGGTAAAGGATTGCAGTGTGGTGCCAAATACAAAATGTGGCATACGTTTTTCAGTGTTTCGTTGCCCTTTCCCAGCAGGGTAGGACAGAGGGGCAGCGGTCTCTCCATGTCGGCTGCACGCAGCGAGCACGAGGTGTCAGAAATCATTGATGGGCTCTCAGAACAAGAGGTGAGACCAGCGCGCCGTTTCTCCTTCCTTTTTTCCCCACTGGTCCAATACCCCTTCCCTCTGGGGACCTCAGTGCAGTCACAACAGACCCTGATGGTGGAGCTTGCTGTTAACATTTGTGCCAAATTCAATAAATGTCAGGTTGGGCCGCACTTAGCAAACATTGTCACACGCAGAACGGGGTTCCTGAGGTTTCTGACAGGGCCCTGGGCAGAGCATGAGAGCATCAGCAGAATCTGTATTCGAAAGCAACGTCTCATTGGAGCGATATCCATGCTGAGCCTCATCTCATTTCCCTTCCTCACCGCTGGAAAACAGCAAAATCTTGCAGAGGAATTAAAGTAATGAAATAACAATCAAGGGAGCAGGCAGTGTTCCCTGTAAGCTGCCTACCAGCACAGTTCACAGGTTAATCAGCCCTGCCCAGTCAGCCCTCCCTGCATGGAGCTCCCTGATTGGATGAGGCTGATTCATCACTTGTGAAGCTGTGCTACTGGGCAGCTTAGAGGGAACTATAGTGGCAGGGTATTTCTTGCACACAAATGCACTTTAGCCCATCAACTCCAGCCGATCATCATTCTTACAGATAGGTTACTCCTTGAGTGGGTCAGTGGGGAACAGAGCCCAGCAATAGCACAGGCTGGGGTTATTGTTTAAATGGGAGATGGCGTTTCCTGCAGGGAAATTCCTACAGGATGGTTGGTTTGTACTTCAGCCAGTGGGATTGATTGTCTCAGTGTTTTGTTCATCTCGGGATGCCCTGGTGATTTGGCTTCTCGTGGATCTGGTTCCACAAGGGTTCTGCTTGGCTGGCTCTGATCTCTAACTGTCTAGAATGGGTTTTTGCTTAGGAAGAGACAGAAACTGCTGCCCAGCCCTAGCTGAGATGTTCACTGCATGTACTTGCCGTGCCTTTGCGTTAGAGGCTGAACCACAAGCTTTACTCTCAGTTCCACAGGCACTGTGCTTCAGTTCCTCCTTTGCAGCGGGAGCCTGATGCACTTCCTAGTCTAATCTCCAGGAACTAAAGCAATCAGTGTCTACAAACAGGCCCTTAGCAAAGGGTGGTTGCTATTGCTTCCATGGTGAAGAGCATTTCTGCAGAGGAAAAAGACGGTGCAAAGACTGGTATGTGCATTTTGCTATATCTGCCAAGCTGAGGCTACAACTTTGCCAAAACTGGGACAGCAGTACAGCTGTAGTGCTTCAGTGTAGATGTTCCCTACAGTGACAGGAGGAGCTCTTCCATCATTCTACTTACTCCACCTCCCCAAGAAGCAATGTCTAAGCCACCAAAAAATTCTTCCGTCATCAAGCACAGTCTGAACCAGGGGCTAGCTTAGTTCAACTGCCGCACTCCACGGTCTGGATATTTCACACCCCTGAGCAACAAAGCTGGTTGACCTAATGTTTTAGAGTAGACTTGGCCTTAGCTAGATCCTTAGCCATTTGCCAGCACCCAAGAGGAAAGAGATTTGATTCAGAGCTACTCGTGAGGGGCTGGTCCATCATGAGCTCCACTGCTGCTAATGATGTCATTACATGTCCTTTGCTTGTGGAATTTTGTTGGCCAGCCTGTGTTTGTCCTGCCCAACCTGCTCACTTAGTGAGAACTGACATTTGCCTTTCATTATGAGAACATCCTTGAGAGCGATAAGCCTTGTGAAAGACCTCAAGCGTGTTGTCAGAGGCATTGCAGTGGAGTTGAAGGATGTGGGAAGCTAAGAAGCTGCAGCTTTATATCCGTTGCAGGGGTGTGTCTGGCAGCTGTAACTAGGGTTCTTTGGACTGGTGCTAACTCCGATCATCTCAGGATGTAGAATTTGTGCATGAATTTAATAGAGAAAACTCTTTGCAGACGAGGAGACTCTGGCTAGGTTTGCTATTCTCAGAAGCCTTAGAAGTTCAGCATACCCTGAAGTCTTGGCATCTTGTTACAAATCAAGATCAGAACATGCCACTCCAGAGGTGGGCCAGATTCTGAGACCCTTCTTCACATTGGGTTAGTGTTTAACACCAGGAAAAGCTCCATAGAAGTTGTTAGGGATTACTGTTGGATTTTTCTGCTGTAAAAAATTAGAGCGAGGGCATCAGTATTTACCCCAAAGTGTTGGACAGTGATAAAAAAGGATTGTGGCACAAGCAAGAGGCTGCCACTTTTGGTGGCATAGCTGAGGATCCGCTGTTTATTATCTGACATGGCAATAAGAAATGGTTGTTGGGACATACTCGGAGTGGATGTAGTGGCCTTTTGGGGAATGGCAGACATGAACTTGACTATAGAGTGTCTGTTTATTGAGGGGAAATTAGACTCATTTAGTTGCAAATACAGAGTAAAAGAAATGAACGTTATGTGGAGAGATGGTACACGCTCTCAGTCTGTTCAGTTATTCCCATCAGTGCTTTGGAAATACTGCTTTGTTGAGTTACAAACCAAACTGAGAGCAGAGGAGAAATGGTGGTGGTGGTGGTGGGAGATGTTAGGAAAGTTTTCATACTAACAAAAGGTTCCTATGAGACTGGCTATCAACCCTTCTCTTGTACCCCTGCACCTTCAACTACCACATTTGTCAAATAACATTCAGACCAAGATATTAACAGAACTGGACCCACTCCTGCTTAACATCCAAATGGTACAGTTGAAATTTGTCCTGACTGACAAGAATTTGCAAACCAACCCCCACCCATCGCCAGGGAGCCCTGGTTTTGCCTGTCTCTAGCTGTGAGCACCAGTTAGTTTCCTTGGGTCAAACATTTTTACATTGTTTCTCAGGAATCTTGTTTCTCAAGGGAAGATTTAACTATTTCCCTGCTGAGGGTGGCTGCTTCTTTCACTGTTTAACATATAATTTAACATAAAGCTGGCTGGGCCTTACTTTTAAAGTCTCCTGTCCCACTGCCTGTCCTTTCCCCATGAACTTTTGTATCCTCTGATTCCCCCATGGGCTCTGCAGTGCTGATGAGAACTGTCCCCTTCACTTTCTCTCCCCAAGAACCTGGAGAAGCAGATGCGCCAGCTTGCCGTCATCCCCCCCATGCTGTATGATGCTGACCAGCAGCGCATTAAATTCATCAATATGAATGGCCTGATGGACGACCCCATGAAGGTGTATAAGGACCGGCAGGTGATGAACATGTGGAGCGAACAGGAGAAGGACACCTTTCGGGAAAAGTGAGTGGCTGAGAAGTGACTGCCATAGCCAATGGGAATCAGTGGTTGGGAATTGTGGATAATGACTTGATCACTGGGCCCTGGTAGTCACCTTGCTTCCCATGGCATGCACTGCAGTGTGCTTTGCAAGCTGAACTCCTTGCAGCCACTTGAATACAAATGAAGCGGGGATTTAAATCCCCCCCCCGCTTCATTTGCATAAAAATGGCTGCCACTTTTTTTTCCCGCTCAGAGCTTTGCCAGAAAAAAGCGCCAGTCTAGACGTGGATCTTTCGGAAAATAAAGCCTTTTCCAAAAGATCCCTTATTCCTCTTAAAGATCCTCTTAAGGAATAAGGGATCTTTCGGAAAAGGCTTTATTTTCCGAAAGATCCACGTCTAGACTGGCACTTTTTTCCTGCAAAGCTCCGAGCCGGAAAAAAGCGGCAGCCATTTTTATGCAAATGAAGCGGGGGGGATTTAAATCCCCGCTTCATTTGCAATTGCGATGTATCTAATTTGCATCCCCTTTACGGAAAAGGGATGCAGTCTAGACACAGCCAGAGAGTTTTAAAAAATGTTACCAATGGTATTTGCTGGGTCTGTCTGTGCCAGGCAGTCTGATAACGTAGATGAGACTGAACCAAGAGAAAAGGACCCGGGTACAAGCTGGAATATGCTCAAGAGGAGCTAAGCTGAAGGTTTGGTTTGGCCGGGTGAGCCATTAGAACAGAGGCATGGCATATGAAATAGGAAATACATTCTTTGAATTAGACAAGTTCACTGGGCTCCTCTCATCCTCCATCCTAGCATTACTCACACCAGGCTAGCTTCTCCCTCCTTGGTGGTTGGTGATTTGGGCTGAATAACAACAGCTTAAAAATATAGTCACCAAGGTAGGTATTGATTGAGAAACCAAACAGCCAGGTAACAGACTGTGTTGTTTCTTGTGCACTTAAAATGCACACATGTGTGCATGCACACACAAACACATGCACACACACTTTCCTGAAATTACACTCTCATTTCATGTGATAGGGAGAAATAAGACTGGATTGTAATGATGGATCAACATGGATGTCACTAAGATAAAAGTAGATCTTCAGGATGGAGAGATTACAGGCAGTCCCCGGGTTACGTACAAGATAGGGACTGTAGGTTTGTTCTTAAGTTGAATCTGTATGTAAGTCGGAACTGGCGTCCAGATTCAGCCGCTGCTGAAACTGACTGCCAGTTCTGACTTACATACAGATTCAACTTAAGAACCCCAAGCGTCCCCAAGTCAGCTGTTGCTGAAACTGATCAGCGGCTGATTCCAGGAAGCCCGGGGCAGAGCAACTCTGCCTCGG